CAATCATTTCCTAACAAAACCCAGATTTTTTTATGCAGTTTCTAGTTTTGCAAGGGTAGGTTCAACTCTGGCTCTGCACTGGCTAAAGGTAAAATAAGAGCTGAAAAATAAAGTGCTTTGAGCTTTTAACTTGGCAACTCACACCTCTTGTCCTTTGCTATGTGGTTGTGTATTCACATTTACTCATTTTTAAATGCAACCAAGGGTCTGTATCAATCTACAGCCCAGCACTTGCAAAATACCTAAACCTTTTATACAAGTGCCTGGAGATCATTTCAAGGAAATTTATAGTTTACAACCACACTCTGCCATATACAATTTATTTTCAGGGAATTTCTGAAGTACTTTTCTCATAGAAGACTGCTACCTTTATAACACTGGAAAACACCATTTGCAATAAAAGTGGTTTTAAGAGACCATTACAGATCAGAATAACTCGAGTTTATTCCTTGTAGCTGCTATTTCTCAAATGCAACAGCTCCACAGCCGTTCCTCACTCTCTGTCACAAACTGGGATCTCAGCTCTACTGTTTCAGACACAGAAAAGAACAAATACCAGGTCATCAGCAAAAATCCATCCAGCAAATTCACTTATAATGAAACTAATAGCCACAAGCATTAAAGAAAAAGAATCCCACCTGTGAAAAATAAAGTATGGCCAAGGTTTTTTGTCTGCAAACTCAGCTTCTGCAGAGATCTGTTGGGTGCATCTGCTTCTGTGAAAACTCAGCACAAAAATTTCACTGAGGTCTTCTGGAGTCATTGCTAAAGTTTGTTTTCCCCCAATTAAAGAAGCTATTAAAGGCCAGTTTTAAAAAATAGCAACCTTTAATTGGGAAGAAAAACGCCCAACAATAAATAAAAAGCAGACACATTCACCAATTAAAAATCTGACAAGATCTGTCTTAAAAAAAAAAAAAAAATTTGCTAAATGCCAGGTTGCTTGTTTCAGAATACAAAAGCTGCTTCAACCAGCTACCAACAAAACAAAAGGTTAAGAAAAATCAATATATAAACACGTGTTTGTCCTCTGAGTGATAAAAGAAAATATTCCTCAAGTTGTCCTCCAGCAGGAGAGCCAAATTTGCTCCATTATCTGCATGGTTTTTAAAAAGCCATTGCCAAAGCGACTGGGATCAGCAGATTTCTGTGACAGCATCTTGACCTTACAAAGTGCCTTTTATTTAATGAATTTGAGGGATCTGTCTTCTCCACAAAGGAAAGAGCAGGTTTTGGAGGTGGGTGTGCTGAGGAATGAGCACAAGTGCAGCAGCACAGGGATGGAAGCTGTAAAGCCCTGATATCCAATATCCACGCTGGAAGTCACAATCCAGGAGCTCTTTTCTTCTAGCAAATAATGCTCATTTCTTCTGAGCACTTGCAGGACAATAACAAATTGAAGATATTTCCAATAGGTGTAAAGGCACAGGGAAAAAGAAGGAAAGCTCCCTGGAGCTGCAGCCAAAATGGGGATTTAAGGGCAGACTTTGCAAACGCTCATTAAGCTTCCCAGACACTCTTTACTTCCAAAAGATTTATTGTTGGGGACAATCCCTTTATTTTTCCTTTGGGATAAACAAGAGGGGAACTGGTCAAGAACTCAGCACTGCGGGGGGTGGAACTATACCTACCTAAATTTGGGGATTCCCTGGGAGCTCCTGACTCTTTTGAGATGTATCAGTCCTGTCCTGGGACAGCTGCACATCCCTCACTCCTGACAGCATTCGTGGAACCTTCTTCCAAATTAATCCATCCTTGAGGCTGCCTTTAGTCTCTGTTCTTGGCAACAACCAGAAAACCAAGGTGAATTCCATGAGTGCATGGATCCTCCTACAGGAAACAACTGGCAAAAAAACAAATGTGTTCCCTGACACGACAGGAAAAAGTGACACTTCAGAAGGCCAGAAAGGAATCACAAGTTGGACTCTCTTTCCTGTTGGGTCTTCCTTCATCTCAGAGCTGCTGAAAAGCAGAGCCACAGAGAGCAGGGATAACTCAAAATTCCCAAACCAGACCCCATAAAATTCCATTTCTGATTGGATTTTAGTGCTGCTGCGCAAGTTAAACTTGGTCATGGATCTCACCCCAAACACCCTCCCTGGAAGTGAGACACTTTCTCCTGGGAAGTCCAGTCACAAAACCACAAGAATGCCTAAACCTGGGATCACAGAAAGGGAATTATTCAGTCTCTTGTGAGTGAGAGCTGCTGAGCTCGAGTAAATATCAGAAATTATCCCTTCATTAGTAAAATAATTTCTATTTACAAAAAGCTTTTCAGCTTCACACTTCAAAGCATTTCACAGACAATGCAAAGAGATTTTGCAGCCCTAAACAATGTTTGTTTTTTGGAAAACATCCCTGTCTTTGCTATAACTAAGTAAAACATCAATACTTGAAGAAGCTCCTCTGGTTTTGTTTGTTTAAAGCAGAAAAATGCAGTCAAAGTTTTGCTGTTTTTCATCCACTGTTCCCTTTATGGACCTTTCACACAGCAACAAGGGAGAAATAAACAGCCTAAATAAACAGGGACATGCAAGTGTAAAACCACAAGGATTGGCAGAAGCCTCTATTATGCATAAATGTTTTGGAAATAAAGCCATCAACAAAAGGAAACTAAGCCACATTTCAAACCAACAGCTCACTGTTAAGATTTGTAATCTTTTTCTGAGGCTGAGTAAAATTACATTTAAGCTACCCAGGTTTAAATTTGTCTGCAGTGGTAATTTTATGATCATACAAACCACTACAAAATTCACCTGTTGCTTGGCAAGTTTGTCGTCACCTGAGCTCCTACACAAAAACAACGTATGGAGAAAAGTGATTTAAATTCCTTTTCACACTATTTGCTTTCTGCACTTGGCTAAGCCTAAGAAACATCAATATTATTACCACAACACTTTTTCCTTCCTCTGCAATCAGTTCTACCCTCAGGTTTTCATGGTCTGGCTCAACCTGACACGCCAAGCTCTGCAGAGAATCTCTACATCCAAACCAAGTTCTAATTAAATTCTGGAAGTTTAGTTATCAGGCTGTTTTATTGAATAACTTTAATTTCATAAAGTCAGTAACTCAATGTTGTGTCTAAAAACCGGGCCTAAACCAGCCAAGGTGTCAGTACCTGAAAGCCAAAGATTATGAGACAAACATTTTATTTGGAGAACAGAGCACTGTGAGCTCACTCTGCTGATTTTAAATAAATTTAAGAAGCCCAGATTTATTAAAATAGAGGTACAAAAGGAAGACCTTAAAATACTCTTGGAAATTACAGGAAATGTGGAAAAAAGATGCTTACAACAGGAAATGCTGCACAACCAGTGCATGTTTATTATTCTTCCACTGACAGTGGCACAACTTTTTTTTTTAATAGAGCCAACATCTCCCACAAGTTTTGCAAGATTTCAAAGATTTCAGAGCAATGAAAAAGAATTGAATTTTATCCTACACAGAGGATATTTAAATCATAACTCTACCTAGACACATAACTAGTGCCACAACAACTTCTCCAAAAACAGAATGACTACAGATTCTCTCCAAGACACTGGAGTAGGAGCCAAAGTTTGGGAGCTCATTACAACTGCCAGCATCCTGCTGGTGTGACTGCAGCTGCTGTGTAAGAACATTCAAAAGAATTATTTAAAATATGCAAGAATATTCATTCCTTGTGGGCAATCAGCTGCCAATCCTCTGGTTTTAAGCAGCACAGAAAAGATTTAAAGAAAGTACTGTAGGGGAACAGTGATTGCACATCTAAGTCTATCACAGAACTATTGTCCAGCAGAACCAAGTTCAGGAATATGCAGATAAAAATCAGTGGCTAAACATGACAATTCTTTCTTTTCAATAGCAACAAGACAGGCTTGGAAGCAGCAGCACTTTGCCCACTCTGGCATTCCCACACAGGATGGAGTCCACCCTCTGGACTTGCTGGCCCTCCAGCAAGATGAATTTTAGAGATTTCCAGCCAGATGAATTTTACTTGGTGCTGCTGTGTTTGAGGGTAAGGGGTCATTTATGGAGCCCACAGTGCCTTGGCCTTCATGAAGGGCATTAAGCTGGTACTACCTGCAGGGTTTATTCCAAACTCACTGAAAAGAGCTCCAAGACCAGTGAATCCAACCTGTGAGAGCCACACCAGAGTGCCACGTTCAGGGTTTTCTTCAAGATCTCCAGGGATGGGGACTCCACCGCTGCCCCTGGAGTGATGGAGTCTCTACAGTGTTTGAAGACTATTCTTGTATAGAAATTCCTCCTCAAATCCACCCCGAGGCTGTTTCATCTCCTCCTTGGAGCACAGCCCGACCCCCCCCGGGCTGTCCCCTCCTGGCAGGGACTTGTGCTGAGCCTCCTTGGCTCCAGGCTCAGCCCCTTCCCAGCTCCCTCAGCCTCTTCTGGTTCTCCTGACCCTTCCCAGCTCCATTCCTGGACCTGCTGCAGCCCCTCAATGAGTTGAGGAGCCCAGAACTGGACACAGCACTGCACGTATGGGCTCATCAGTGCCCAGAACGGGGGAAATCACTTCCCCGTCCTGAGGCCACACTGTTTGAGACACAGACCAGGTGCCACTGATGTTCTTGCCCACCTGGGCTCGTGTTCCAGCAGCACCCCCAGGTCCTGTTCTGCACAAACTCCCATCTCCTCCGCCCCAGGCTGGAGCAGTGCCCGTGGCCACAACACCGGAGCCGGCACCTGGCCTTGATAAACCTCACCCCGCTGGTGCCAGCCCCTCCATCCCGCTCCGTCTGACCCCAGGATGAAGCAAAACACTGGGAGCAGGAGGAATTGTGCCGGGACAGCCATCAGCACAAGCTTTTCTCCAGCACTGCAGCCCCCCCAGCGCTCCAGGGCCAGCAGGGACCCAAACCTCGGGTCACCCCATGCCCAGGAGCGACCCCACACCCCGGAAGCCAGAGCCGGGCAGGCCTCCCCAGCACAGCACGGCCCGCACCCGGCCCTAGATCACCCTCAGAGGCATGGAGGATGCGGAGCGGAGCCGCCCCTACCTGATAACCGAGATGAGCAGCCCCGAGGGGTCTTTGCTCCTGCCCACGGTGCTGCGGTACCTCCCAACCGCGTCGCCCGCCGCCATCTTGCGCCCCCCCACACACGGCGCGGACGCACGTGCTGGCGCGCCGCAGCCAATCATAGGCGAGGAGGGTGGGCTGCTACCCAATAGAAGGCGAGGAGGGCGGGGCACGCAGCATCAGGGCGGGGCGCGCCGCCGCGCAGCCTTCTGGGAGGTGTAGTTTTTATGGCGCGGCGATCCAGAGTCCCACGCAAAACTTCGGCGGGTGGTTAAAAATAAGTAAAAGGTTAAAAAATTATCGACCTGACAAGATACACCTCCAAAGTGTGCCCAAAAGCTGTCATTCACTCTGGGAGCGGCAGAAAACGGTGGAGGTATGAGGGACCAAAAGCATCCCCTCAGGGTCCTCATGGAGCAGGGTTGGTTGAACAGTGAGAGATTTAAATATTTATAGAGTTAAGAGTGGGTAAAGTGAGTTAAGTACTTAAATGAACGTGTTCGATGAATTGGTAGTGCTAAATGCTCACAGTGTGTCACAGCCGGAGCGAGTTTGATCACAAATACACCCACAAGAGTTGCTGATGCTTCCCTTAATTTAATGTCTTTAAGCTTGTGAAAAATGTATATTATATGGCTCTACGCAGATAGTTACTATGTTTATTATGTTATATTGATTAGTTGTGCTTTTGTAGTTAAAATGAAGATTTTAGTAGTTAAAATAGAAACTATGTATATGGGAGACAGGTTTTTGGTTTTTTTTTTAGAAATGAGATACTCACTTTGAAGAGCACCTAAATCTTCCAGAAGAGAGGAATTTATAGCTTTCTTATCAGAAGAAGATAATTAGCTAATTTATTCAGGCCTTACTCAAACTCAAAAACACCATAAGAATTAATAGAAATAGTTTACATACAACAGACAGCGTTTCTTATTTTAAATAGAATGTATGCATAACCATGAAGGAGATATGAATATGCAACAAGGGTATTGTTTTAAGGGTAATTCCTTTGTTCACAAGAGATGCTTTTCACAACTTAGTGTCCAAGAGCATCCAAACATCCGTAATTCTTACTTTTTATTATCTTGTAATTATCCTAACTCCTTAGGAAAGGCATGAGTCACCATCATTTATGTGAAAAATGCACATTTTATGATTGGCTCTTTGCATATATTAAATTGAATACTATATGTATTACGGAGAATTATTTTGTAATACTGTATTAATCCTTTTTAAGTAGTGTGTTAAATATAGTTTTAGGTTACAACATCATGTTAAAATAGAAACTCTGTGATGTAAGATATTTTTAACTAGCTCAAGAAGAGGGATAAGATAATCAAGAAACTTTTCACATAGAGATAACAGCGACAGGGCACATAAAGAGTTACAGCCTCCTTATCAGAAAAGACAAAAATCCTTCCACCCTCTCTCTGTCTTTGACAAAAACCGGAAAAATTCTTAATTTGCAAGTAATTTATGCATCATGTATGAGATATATGAATATGCAACAGGTTGTTGCTTTTAAGGTTTATTCCTTTGTTCACAATGTTTTTGGCAGCTTAGTGCCCAAAAACATCTGGACATCTGTAATTTTTTTTTTTTTTTTGTATTGTAGTGTCCTAATCCTCATTGTCCAAATTTTTATTACTCTGATTTTATTACTATTTTTTAATAACTGTTTTATTACTAATAATATTTTAAGATTTTAAGAAACAAGTGATTAGTGTTTTTCACAGTTTGCATCCCTTGGAGCTGCTGGGTGTTTTCTATACCAGGTTCACTCCATCATGTCAAACACGCTGCTCTTCCAGAAGTGTTTTTTTCTGCCCAAAGCTGCACCTTAACGATTTAATTGCATGGAAATTGCTGAAATCTGTCGGTGAGTCAAGAGTATCCATTTAGTCGAGCTGTGTTTGAAACACGAGGTAATGGGAAGCATGATAATTCCTTATTTACAAGGGGAAGAATTCCACTGTAGCTGTTGTGGAAGAGCCTCTATTTATCAATCAACAGCTGTATCTATGATCATTAGCAGAAGGGCAGAGTAAGAGCATGGGCACTTTAATTCTGAAATAAAAGATACTTAATTCCTGAATAAGCAATGTGCTTTCAGAACAGAAGAATTACTCAAAAGTAAAGTGATTTTTATCTCCAGGTAGGGTGTGCACTTCAGGGTGCTACCTTGAAGCTGTTCTGCTACGTTTCCCCTGTGCAGACGATCTCTCAGCTCCACAATTTCCCATGCAGCTATACCAAAATAAAAATCTCATTTTCCTTGTTTTCCTGAGCAGGTTTGCCAATGCCTTTGCCCAAGGATGGTTATTTGAATGGTAAGAGATTTGTGCACTGGCTGGAGGGAGTTTTTCCTCAAACTGCCGACTTGCCAATATTGTTTTTGTTAATTGCCAATTCCCATCGACTGCGCTGGACCAGCAGGGCTCGGATCTTTCCTGGAGTGGGGGTGAAATCGATGGGTCCCACCTTTTCATTCCTGACAGCTGCAATAATCACCTCATTGAGGAGGAACTTCATCAGGACAAACAACAGCAAATCTGCCCCAGAACTGTGACCTGGCTGCCGTTCAGTGCTGGGCTCTAATTGCTGACCCACTGCCTGGTTTTATTGACCAGCCCTTTCCCTTCACTCCTCACCCAAGCAAAGCCACAGGTGGGAATTCATGTTTTCTTTAAAATGAAAAGGGAGAAATCCACGGAGGCCTGGCTGATGCAGCACGTGAAGGGTGAGGTCTTTCTTGATTAATAATAGATGATAAAATGAGGCTGAAGGCTGATGAAAACATAATTTTTCCTTATATAATTTACAGAGGAGGGTCTCAATCTGAAAACTGATGGAAGGAAGAACAAACAAAAGAATTTTTTTTTCTTTTTCACATTCCTTCCACGTAGTGTTTTAGTGCTCTGAGGTGTATCTGGTAAAATGGGTGGTTCCTGGATTACCTAAACCAAAGAAAGTCCAAGCTGACAAACAAAATGTTCATGATGATGAGTGAATCCTTGTCACAATTTGTCAATAGAGATCAGATTGACTCAGTACAGGGTCCCCCATTCAGGAGGGACTGGGAATCACAGATGGTTTCACTCATCCTCCCCATCCATCCTCCCTTCAATAACAAAAAAGGAAAGGAGGGGTGAGCTTGTACTGAGCTATTCCTCATCAGCTGGGCCAGTTTCTCACATAGTGCAGAGTTCTGCCAAAAAGAATTCGGAAGAGGCACAGGCAGAGCAGTTTTTTGGGAAATATGGTTTATTCCTGGGAAGTGTTTTACAAACTCTACTGGCCAGAGTTCCATTCCCCATGTGACTTGTGTGATACTAAGGGATTGCTTTCCTCCTTTCCTGAGGTAATTTTACCTGCAATCCCTTTCCACAGTCCATTCCCTGATATTTTCTAAGTGTTTCCTGGGAATTCTTGGGAATTCCTAAACCTAAGAGATTTAGGGCTGATGTACACATGGGCTCTTTTAACCACAGCTTTAACATTTGAAAAAAAAAAATACCACAAATACTTTGTTATTTCATTTCAAACATTAGTGCAAATGTCAGACCAAAGGGTTCAGCCCACACCAGCTTCTTACAGGTCCAATGGCCTTGTGTGAAATGCCTTAATATTGGTTAGAATTAAATCCCCTTTGACTCCCAGCAGTGTAGATGGGAGCAGAGTGAAGGCCAGAATTTCCATCTAAGCTGGAGGAGCAGTTCTGCCTGTAGAAAGTGAGCCTAATCCTGTTGGCATCTCTCAGTCAGTTTGATATAATCTATTTTACCCTTCTTACAGAGCTGGTCACCCCCACATCAGCTGCATTAAGCTGAAATTGGTGCATGGGTAAAGGATCAGGTTCCAGCCACCCTCTTCTTCCAAATAGTTCTGGTTTTCTTATGAAGCTTTACAAAGTTTTGTCAAACTGCCTGAGTAAAGAATTGAGTAAAAGTGTGCTGAAACATCAGGATTTGGCTCTAGGATTAGTCACGCATCTGGATGACTTCATTATTCCTATTTACCATTAAATAAGTGTGAGCTAAAGCTGATTTATGTTGGTTTTTGGATTTTCTGCACAGCCACGATCAGTTTCTCTTTCCAGCACGTAGCTGCCATCAATTCTTTTTGTCTCTGTGAGTTAGAAGAAACTCCTGGAGCAGGAGAAGAAGTTGCCTGGCTCAATGCTGAGAATCAAGGCAGAGATATGATTCAAATGTCTCCTTATTGTTTTTTGCCTCCTGACATTTCCCACATTGCGCTGTGTTCTGCTGCTGCAGAAAAATAATAGCTAAGATTAAGTTAAGTGGAAAAACACTGCTGCTTTTCCAATGTCAAATCCACAGAACCTCTGGTAATGCAGTCCCTGAAGGAAAGCAGAGCAGGTGTGAGGCATTGCTCCTCACAAGCAGGTAAAATGCTGTAAGAGAGGATGTTCTCCTTCTCTTCACCATTAAAAAAAAAAAAATCCAGTTATTTGGTTTATTTCCCCCCTTTATTTTATTTATCCTCACTAAGGGAATGCTGTTTCTACAATTTTCCAAAGGCATTTTCCAAATCCTCAGGGGAATGGGTGCAGGCTGCTTGTTGGCTTCTTGAAATTAAAATCCTTCAGTCTTAATCTTCCTTTGGAATGATGGAAAACTTTGGGTATAGGAGAGACATAAAAAACAACACTCCCATGTTTAATTGTGGGGTTTTTCCCCCCCTTCTATAAAGAAGTTTTTAGATCCTACCCACAAACTTGTTATTTTAATCCAGCTCCATTAAGTTCCTCATGTTTTGACTTGAGGATTTGTTGGGCATCTGCTTTTGCCTTGAGTGATACCCAAGCCTAAATTCCTACAGCTTGGGGCAAAAAAAAAAAGGTGTCTGGATAGAAAAGAAAGTCCCAGAAGTCCTGCTGGCACTGAGGGGGAGTTGGATCATCTATCCCAGCAAATCCATTTGGGAGGAAGATTTAATGGATTCCTCAACCCCAGGAAAAACCCTCAGATCAGAGCTCATTAAACCACAGGCAGCTGAGTATGACAAATGCTGGAGATAAGGCTTCAGAAATTCCAGTGCTCACAGAAACATTTCATCCTGCTGAATGCAGCTTTGGATATTTT